GGCAAGCAGCTGGAGCATTTGATTACCTTTGCTCCAAGAGCCACGTTGATTAACACTACTGCCCCATGCCACACACTGCAAAATTTCCGGACCTGGTAAGCGCCCTGTGGGCTGAATGACACAGCTCAGTGGGCTGTATTTTGGTCACCTTTCATTTAGCTACTTCTAGTTAATGTTGAAGTAAATGCATTTGGGTCAATTTAGACCAGTAAAAGAAAAGATGGATTGTTGGTGTCTAAGCTCACTCTATGCCAGCTTTGCCAGAATATGTGTCAGCATGTTAAAAATAACTTGCAAATACCCCCCACCCCCTTTATTTCTAAGGTCTCTTAATGTAAGCATAGTCAAAGAAAGTGTTGCTCAGTTGGTGTTCTTTCAGGTGTTCAGTAATTATAATGGCAGCAGTAAGCTTATTTTCATGTAAGTTGTGTCTGTATTTTGCTATGGAAACATACCTGTGCCCATTCAAAAAAACACATTTTTTCTTTTGAAGTCTGGGATAAATTAAAAAGTTTTGACAGTGTAGTGGTGTGCTTTTTTACACCATTTTCCCTTCCTGACTGACATAATTATGTGTGATTGGGTATAGTTGTTAATTCTCTTCAGGGAACTCTTTTAAAAGCTATATTGGCGTTTACCTATAGGTATTTTGCAGTACTTAGCTGGAAACTATATATATGGAAAATACCTGTTCTTTCCTCATTTATTCTCAAAACAGTTCAGCTGTTTCTGCTGAGTGCTGTTTGACATACAAATTTCCACCAGTATAATTCTTTTTGTTGGGGGTCAGCAAATGTCAGTACACACATTGTGCCATCAATAGCTCATTGGGCTTAAGGAGATTTAATAACTCAAGAAAGGTATTTTCCCCAATTGTGTTTTGAAGAGTGATAGTGATTCCATAGCCTTGGGTTAGGAACTTGAAATTTCAGAAAATGTCGTGGGATAAGCAAGAGGTGCTTTTTAATGTCAGAATAAAAATCTAATGAATTTGTCCAGGCTATAAGTATCTAAAATGGCCTTTTTCACATATGTCTAATAGAGACTGAAAAAAAGAAGGTCTTAACCACTGGAAGAAAGTGTACTTGAGATGAAGACTAGACCACCAGTTTTTCACCTTTTCTGCTAACTGGTGTCAATTATGTGTGCTTTACAGTCTGTATTATGGTGCATATGCTGGTGTTCCTGTTTTAAAAGGTGAGGAAGTATAGCTTCCCCATTTTATAGGTGGACATATCAATTGTACAAAGTCATTTCTGGTATGTTTGGGAATAGAGCTTTGGAGCCAGATTCACAGCACATAAGCAAAGCCTAATGGTAGCAAAGGTGACCTTAAGCTACCTTTTGCTTCTCCAGAAACTTGGGCTACATCTGAAGCAAATATGGCTTCTGGCATAAGTTTGATTGGCCCTTGAGATTGCTTTAATTTATGGCAGTGTTCCCTCCTTTCTGTGACTTGCCCCTACATTGAGGGTTACAAATATGATATAGGCCTTTGGCCTCTTTCTGTCCCAAAGGGCTTCCTTTGTTGCAAATTGTTGTCTTTATAGACCAGTTATATAGATTCAGCCACATACAAGGAGCTAGAATCAGTCCTCAGCTCTTCTTTGGTAGACAGATTTTCTTTACTTGTTCTTGAAGTGCTATGCTCTCTGTAACCACCTCTAGAGCAAAAACTGCTCAATGTGCCGCCATATATGGCCTTTTGGGGCAAAGCATTCTCATTTTTCATTTATCCAATAGAAACAGTAGATGAGTCTCCATTTACTTGGAACAAATTTTACCTACTTTTTATCAAGCCAGAAATGGGTAGAGGGGAACAAAATAAAACTTTACAGTATCTTAATTTTTCAAAGTATTTACACACATCTGTTTACTACTACGAGCTTGTAAAAATCTCTTCAGATTTATTATGATATAAATTTCCTAGCAAAGATAGTATTAGTTAGGACAGTACTAGTTATCCAACACACAGCTCACGTTCCCTTCCCAAATACTTAACTACTCTGTACTGTGTGTTAATTCCCTTAAAGCCAGTTCTTTCTTTTCCTTTTTCGTGTCCTTGTGACAAGATATTTAGCAGAGTTTGCAGATTCATTGGAATCATGTCAGGCCATGCTATGAGCATTTATGCTATGGCCCCAAACTTGCGACCTCTGGGATGTCGACCATGTGCCTTAGTGCCGGCATCACCTCAACCCCCTGATCAAGCTTTCTTATTGTAAAAAACATCTTTTTTCTGTTCATTTCTTTTGCTTAGCAGGTTAGGGAACTAGCAATTTTTTAAAAGAATGGTGACAAGAATCAGTTCGGATAGAAGTTGCATCTTTTCATTCTGCATTTTTGTTCTTATGTCAACAGAACATCTTGATGGTTTTTGTCAGAGGAAAAAGAAATCCTCTAGACATGCATAGGATGTTGATAGGCAGAACCAATAAACTTTGTGCATCTTGTTAGGGTTTTTTTTTTGTTGGGTTTCTTTGTTAGAAGGTCCTAAAATGAGATCTAAAAGGGAACTTAAAGAGCTCTAGCTATCTCCTGAGTAGATGAGTAAATGTGTGTTGACAGGCCAGTACATCTTTCTGTCTGCCTAGGTAGGCAGAGGCCATTTTTTAATTTAAAGTAAGGTCAGGGCTGCAGTGTGGTCCTTGACTGGCATACTTTTGTGAACAAAATCCCAGTATCACAACAGAGTATTTTCTTTTTTGGTAAAATACTCCTAATGTAGATACCTTTTCCTTTTCATGGAGAGAAAGGAGACTAAAAACAGTTACTCAAGGGAGTTCTTTTCTAATTATCTCTGTCTCCTTCAACCAGTATAGTTGGATATGGAAACATGGAGGACTGTAATCCCAGTGCAGACCTTTCAGTAGAGTAAGTCATTGTTGAGAGTGCACTGGCAGAGGGGTGGGGCCAGGGAATACACTTGCTAGAGGGTCATCTTGCTGGAATAAAGAGGGCTTTTCAGAATTCTCACACTGGTACTTGGCTTTTCCAGGTCCAAGTCAAGATTTCTTATTTCGATTTAAATATAAAATGGTAATTATTGAAATGGTTTCAGAAAAAAGGGGCCAAAATATCTGGTTTTTCCTTTTTTCTTTCTGTCTTTGGAAGTACAAAGGGGAACATACTTGCGTTCAAATTGACATGATAAGAACTCTCAACTTTAATGAAATATTTACAGTAGTGATGGTGTAACAAGACAGCCATATCATTTGTTTGAGTGCTTAAAATTATTAACATGTTAAGCATAAAATACTGTGCAGAAATGTACCAGTATTTATTTATAAACTGCAGATCTGTTCGTTCTCCTTGCCTCCCTTTCAGATACTGTATCCTGAAATTTTTTTTCCTGAACTTTTGTCACGGGGCATCTAGTAACGTTAGTTAATAGAAGGACTGTGAGAGGGTTTTTCAGTTGTGCACTTGATAGCTTTAGTACTTAGCCAAGCTGTACCCTTACTTAGCCAGGCAGTCTTTGCATGTATACAATAGTTTTGACATTTCAGCTTTTAATGGGTATATTTTAGTCTTTCCATTCCTGCTTGTACACACGTGCTCCTTCAGTTTCAGTAAACTGCTGATTTTGTTTGGTTTGATTTTGTCTTTATTTTTCTGACAGTGCTTAATAACCCCCTCTCTCCCGACCCCATTTTGACCCTCTATGCCAAGCACTGTACAGATTTTGCTTAAACTTTGGGTCTCCTTGCATGACTTTTTTTTAAAGTCTTATCTGCACTTATCTGGCTATTTCTATAAATAGGTCATTCTAGTGACTGATTAGCATTCATTACAGGATTTTTTCTCACTTGGGTTTCCTGGTGACTTGCCTTTCATTTTTGAATAACCTGAGTAATTCCTCCTTTTTTTTTTTTTGTTACTATTTCTTTTTTTTCCGGTACTAACATTTTTTATCATTATGTATTCAAATCTAGGTAAATACTGCTAGCATTTATACAGTTATTTTTTATAGGGACAGTTTGTTCATATTCTCCATAAAACGCCTCTTATTTATTTTTCATCTGAGTTAATTACTCTTTTGAACCAGTACTTGTATGGTTTTATCATGTAGAGTGGTGAAAGACATGGGGGAAAAAAACCAAAGGTTGTGATTTACCTGAAGCAGCAGCTCATTAGTTGGACCTGGCTCTATAGCTTCTGTATAGAGTGGATGCTTCAGAGGGGCTTTTTTGGCCCTTTTATCTAAAGCTGATTCAATCAGCTACTAGATAAAAGGGCCAAAAAAGCCCTGCAAAGGTGCCTGATCTATACTGATGTTGGGCAAGCCAACCCAGTACCTCTTTTGGGCATGAGCTGCACTTGCCATAGGGATGTGCAACGTTTAAAATGCCATTTTTTGTTTGTTTGTTTTTTACATCTGTAAGATGCCATAGTGCCCATTGATTTTGTTCTGAAAAGATCCTTTTACTTAGCACAGTTGAAGTTCCCAGTATTTGCAGTCGGAACAGCTTCCTAACTTTACTAATATTAATAATTTTTAAATCTAATATTTCTCACTCTTTCCCATAGTGAAGAATTCTCTATTTCCACATTTCTAAAATTGTCGCTGTCCTGTGATCTAGTTATCACTATTTCTTCATGTTGTCAAAACAGTTCAATAGAGAATAACTAAAAGTGTTTTCTTTTGGGGCTGAGTATATTTTTTCACAGTACTTTCAATTCTTGCTGGTCCAGGATTTTGGTATCCAATTTCAGAGCCTCTTTGGCAGAACATATTTACAGCCGATATTTTTCTAAATGTAAACTCTTCTGTGTTACTGCTGTCAGCTTCATAGACCTTATTTCCAGATAAGTAATTTAGAAATAAGAAGTTATATACTTGCAGTAGGATTGTCTTCTTCATTCTATGGAACTGGAGTCTTTCTGAATGCTAGAAACTATACAGGATGGTAACTTGTATTTTCACAGGAATACCTTGCTTTACTCTACAATACAGCAGACCAATTGTACAAGTTAAGAATTTTGATTCTTTTTTAAAGAGAGAAGATGATGAGGAAATGCAAGCTTTAAAGGAGAAATTAAAATACTGGCAAAGGCTACGACATGATCTTGAAAGAGCCCGTTTGTTGATTGAACTTATACGGAAACGTGAAAAATTAAAAAGAGAACAGGTAAATGGACAATTTCAATTTTTTTTAAACTTTGAAAGAAAATTATTTGCTGATGGGTGGCCCTTCTTTCTTAAAAAGATTTTTATCATAGAAATAGATTATGCTATTTTCTTTTTTCTATTGATATAAAACAGTACGCAGTAAAAGCACAGTTTCTTTTTGTAAAATCTTGTATATATTTTGAGAAGATAGATGGATCTTACCAAAAAAAAATGAAATCCATATTACTTGTAAACTAGGAGCAGATCTGATGGGTAGAAAGAAGTTATTGAAGTCTCTTAGTAATGGGCTGTGCTTACAACCCCAAAATAACCTGTATCCTCCTGAGAAGATAGATAGGTAGACTTATGTCTCTAGAGGCCCAAGGCAGTCTCTAGAGGTCAAAGGCCCTGGCATGAGAAGAATCTTCTGAAAATGTCAGATGATTTGGGGGTTTTTTGTTCTTGTTCTTAATTATTTAAAAGAAATCTTAAGAATTAGGTGTCTCAGAAATGTCTGCACACTTTGTCATAAGCAATACAGACATTGATTCACTGTGCTGATGCTTGTCGTCTTCAAATGTGTCATTACATTAGAACTTAGCATTGCTTCAAATATACAATACTGTAGGTGTCAAGGATGTCTGCTGGTGATATGCGGTGCACATTATAACAGCCAATACAGTGAAACTTGTGTGTGCCCATTTTTTGAGATGCTGCATATGGTATTTTCTTGCATATAACCTGCTCCTGTCCAGTTGGTGGAAATTGGGGTGTGCACTATATGTGCAAAATACAGTTCCCAACAGCCTGATGATATGGCTTCAGGGCCATGTGCAGAGTTGGTGCACAGACCACATCTGGCACATGGGGCTGAGCAGGCTTGGGAGCAGGCTCAGCTCTCTAGCTGCTGTTATTCACTTACTACAAAGGAAGTATTTTTTGTTGCTTCAGGCTGCCTTTCAAAAATAAGGTGTGTATTATATACAGAGGCATGCTGTATGGGAGACAATATGGTAATTATTATGGCCTTATTACATTTATTATAGTTAAAGGAGGCCCAAATATTTGAAATAGCTTATTTTAATCTTAGAAACAATTTTTATTTTCTTTACAACTTCCAGTAGGATGCCCTTGTAGTTCAGTGGTAGAATCCTTGTCTACTACACAGGAGACCTGGGTTCAGTTCCCAGACACTACTACAGCTGTGGAGGCACCAACCATCTGGACTTAGTCTGGTCTTTGGATTCTGTCTCAGTGGCCTAAAGCAGTGTTTCTCAACTGTTTAAGTAGCAAGTACCCCCTAACTTCTGAAAATTTTGAGAAGTACCCCAACATTCAGTTTTCCCTGAGATTTTATATTTACAGACCAATTGTGCTATATGTTGGAATAAGGGCTGTGTATATAAGGCTGCGCTATAACAGATGTGTAATCTGTTGTGGGTAGGGTTTCCTACCTTTTACACCAGGGCTGCACAACTCAGGTATGTACCTGGAGTAGAGGTGATGTTGCCCAAAGCTAGGAGGGCTGACCCCAGTGCTGCACAAAGCGCGGCACGCCAAATTATTACTGGAGAATTTAAAGCGCCGCACAATGTGCGACACACCAAATGTTTTGCTATAGTTTAGAGAGGAAAAGAGGGTGAGAGAGAGAGAGAGAGGAAAAGAGGGCATGAGAGAGAGAATGTTGGCATACCCCGTGTTTGTGTCTTGCGTACCCCAAGGGATACGTGTACCATAGGTTGGGAAACTATGGCCTAAAGGGAGGATGGAAGGTCTGGGCAGCCTCCACTCCTCCAAAAATTCCTGCCCAGGCATATGTATCAAAGGTCTGGGTGGCCTTCATTCATACACCATCATCCAGGAGGATCGACGGTTGCCACCACAACTTACGGTAGAATGAATGCTATAAACATTTTGAGTTTTATCTTTATTTTCATTATCTATATAATTATTTGTAATTATACATACACGTGTGTGTGTGTGTATAAAAATATATTAAAAGTCAGGATAAAACTAAAAAATGGTCATAGCATGCATTCTACTGCAAGTTGTAAAGAAAATAAAAATTGCTTGTAAAAATTAAAATTTATTTCAAATGTTGGGGCCTCTTGTAACTGTAGTAAATACTGCCTTTAATAATTACCATATTTTCTCCCATACAGCATATACATATACACCAAAAGCTCTGTTATCCAGCACCCGTGGGAAATGGGGGGTGCCGGATAACCAAATATGCTGGTTACCTGACAGGCGCCTTTGCCTGGTTGGGCAAAGATGCCCCTCATGCTGCGTCCGGTGTGTCTGTGTGCCAGGGGAGAGGCACTGCGCCACCCCACCTGCTCCTCTCCTGGCGTCAGTGTGCCAGGGGACAGGGAGGGGTGCCCCATGCAGGCTGCTTTGCCCTGGACCATGGCCCGGAGTGGGACTTGATGAATCTGTAAGTCCCATTTCCCGTTTCATTTTTGCCACGTTGGCTGGCATCAACCGGCATACTCGTTAATAGAGCGTACCAGTTAATGAAGTGCCAGATAACATGGCTTTTACTAATATATTTATAGATAGATATAGAGAGAGATCTATATATCTATAGAGATATCTATCTATCTTGTTATTTAATGCTTGCTTTTTTTTTATTCTTACCTTTTTTCCTAAAAAAAACCCCAAAACAACCCCCCCAACTTTAAAGATGTTATAAGTACCATCAAATTAAACATACATTTAAGTGATTTAATAGTAATGCCTCCTTAAGTATTAAAGATTAATTTGAATGTATATCAGATTTTTTTAAAGAACATGCTAGCATTAAACATTAAAATCTCTCAATATGGTGAAGATGCACACAAAGTTATCACTAATCAATGTTGCCAAAGGTAGCATTCTCATTTGGGATCATAATACTTGAAATAGAAATACTTCAACATTTCAATTGAAGAGTGAACACGATAGAATAGGGGTTTTCAACCTTTTTGTGTCCGTGTACCCCCAGCAGCCGGACCCGGAGCAGTATACCCATGGCGGCCGAATGCTGTGGGGTGCGAGGTGACGTGGCTGAATGTGGAGCAGCAACAGCTGCTCCATACGAGCTTCCCCCAGGCGGGTGGCACGCAAGTGCAGGATGGTGTGTGACAACCAGTTGGCGACCCCTGCCATAGAACACTATAGAAATACCATGTTTAAGTATTGTTTTACCTTGATCACTGCAGCAGCAAAATATTTAGTTGTCCCATCTTTGTCTGAAATATAATAATAATTTATATTTTATTGTTTAGGTCAAGGTTGAGCAAGTTGCTATGGAGCTTCAGCTCACTCCATTCACTGTACTTCTGCGATCAGTTCTGGACCAACTGCAAGAAAAGGATTCTGCTCGCATATTTGCTCAGCCAGTGAACCTTAAGGAGGTGTGTGTTTTATATTTCTAGAGTCATTCTCATTATATTTATAGGTCTGATTTGTTTATTTATTTTTTTACTCAGGTGTACTGAGAAACTGAGAATATCACATGGAATGTTATTTTAGAGTATTGGAAGTTTGAGGAAAAAAACAGGAAGATTACATTTTTTCCCAGTAGGGGAATGTGAAAATAATTAGTTTTAAACATGTATTTTTTACCATGCTTCAGTATTTTAAGTATAGTGTTCAAAAGGGCACCTCTTTTCTTAATTTTCATTTGTTTAAACATTAAGTCACTGATAGTTACTTAGTAAAAATATTTGAAGAGGTATCTTCATCTTTGTATGAAACATCAATCTTGGAAACTGTGTACCCTTACTTATTTTGGTAAGGAGTTCCAATTTTTTTAATTGGAAAAATGTGTTTATCACAAGTACATACAATAAAAATATGATTGAATCCTTCCATAACTCCAGAAACAAAGTGTTGGACTTTCATTAATAGTTTTTAAGTTTGCTTGTTAGCTGACAGGTGTATATGAAACTGTGATTATATACCAAATTCCCCACTCGTAATTATATAAACTCAAATCTAGATTTAGTATAATTATTGGTAATGTAACATTAGCTATTTTTAACGCAATTTTACCATTTCTCCATTTTCTTATTTTAGGTTCCAGATTATTTGGATCATATTAAACATCCAATGGATTTCTCTACAATGAGGAAACGGTTAGATGCCCAAGGTTATAACAACCTGAATGAGTTTGAAGAAGATTTTAATCTCATTATAGATAACTGTATGAAATACAATGCTAAGGATACAATATTCTATAGAGCTGCAGTGCGATTAAGAGATCAAGGAGGTGTTGTTCTGAGGCAAGCTAGGAGAGATGCTGAGGCAGTTGGTTTTAATGATGAAACTGGAATGCACTTACCTGAGCGACCTAAACTAGAGTCACCTCAGCCATTCTCTTGGGAAGATGGTAAGAAATTTCTAAAGATTAATTTTCAAGAAATATAAATAAACTGTTAGATTAATTTTTATTTTTCAGGTTTTTTTAAATGGTACATTTATTGCAAATGGACTGTACTCCCAACACATCTTTAAAGTTATACTTGTTTAGCTTACTGATGAAAAGAACTATTTTAAGTTAATGTTTTTACAAGTATTAGAAGAAACACGCTATTAGAAAGTTAAATTGTATTCTGTTCTGCCCTACCAGTAATCAAGAGAAAGTGATCTGAATTCTAATCTCTGTATATTGAGAACCTGGACTAGGAAGGTGCATAAGTGTGTGTTGAAATTCAGTGCATGAGTATTTCCACTGAAATATACAGTGTACTTAACTAGTAATTTGGTGAGACTTTTCACATGTTTAAATTCAAGCATGTGCTTAAGTGCCTTGTTGAATCATTTGTTGGCAGCATTGCATAGAGCTGGTTTTACAGAGCAGAATGTGAACAAGTTTTGAGTTCTGGGCTTCGCTTGTAGTACTAGCAGCTAAAAAAGTTGTTTTGGCTTGTAAACTGAAGAAGGTATGAAATGCAAGTCAAAGGAAAAGAAATAATGACCATTAAAATATCACTTTTATGATCCTAATCATACCCTAGGCTCTTGCAGAAGCAAAATCACGTAATTTCTTTTTTAAAGGGAGGGATTAATAGGACCTCGTTCCTGACCTGCAAAATCCCTGCTATTCCAGTTATGGATCTCTCAAGCAAAAGTGCTAATCAAGAAGAATTGTAGCAAGTAGTATAGTAGGAATTTTTATTGACACTTCTCTACTAGTGACAGTGAGACTACTAAACTTGCTTCAACTTGTGACTCAAGTAGGATTTCATTTTTTTAATTCCAACACGACATGCATCCAGTATTTTCTTTCTCCTAGTAGTTTGTGTGTGTGTGCTTGCTTGGCTTTGTATTTGCTTTGTTTGGTTTTTATTTTAATACCATGAGAAACACTAACAAATATTTTAAATTCCACATGTTTTGACTTCAGTGGATAGGTTACTGAATCCTGCTAACAGAGTACACATGTCCTTGGAAGAACAGCTGAGAGAATTGTTAGAAAAACTTGATCTTACCTGTGCAATGAAATCCAGTGGATCAAGGAGCAAACGAGCAAAGCTGTTAAAGAAAGAAATCAGCATTATTCGCAACAAACTAAGTCAGCAACACAACCAACCTCCCCAGATAGAATCAGGTATTGGAAGCTTTGAAGAAGAAAGTGCACCATTAGAACAAGAAGGTGAAGAAGAAGGTAAGATTTTAACCTGTGTTTAAATTGGTACTGGTTTGAACCCCTTCAATTAGACATTCCATAATAGGTCATGTGAATTTCTATAAAAATGTACAATCTGTTATGATGTCATTAATATTCCTTTTCTAAGAACAAGTTTACTAGACTGTAAACAAAATATAGCTGACACTTGTTCCATAGCATAAAGTTTAACATGTTGACAGCCTACTTTTTGTCTGGCTGACTTGATGCAGTGAGATTTTTTTTTTTCTTTTTAAGGATTGTAACAAATGCTATAGAAGCAAACTTTTAAATAAAATTTTCTTGTACAATTTTTTTTGGGGAAATTTATAAGAGTTTAGCATCTTCGAAAAACTAACTAACTTCTAAAGTGGCTACATATGGATTAGGAGCCTAACTTTAATAATTCATCACAGAAAACTTTGGCCACTACACCCATCTCTTAACTACTACTACTTCTGTTTTCGGCACCACCAATTGGTTTCTATGTAAGTTACTGTTGGTAGATGTAACCAGAACTAGCATAAAAATCCTTTAATATAATTATGCAGTATTGAAATAGTGTAGATTCAGTTATCTGTAAAACATTTCATGATCCCAAAAGAACATCTGCTCCCACTGAAGCATAAGGCAACATTTTTATTGACATCCATCAAGCCCAGCTCCTCGTGATAGCTAGCCATATACCCAATTTGTATTCTCAAGTTGGAATGAAGTTTTACTTTCATCAGATTGAATCATTTAAATGAAACTTTTTAGAAGTACAAAGTAATAGTTTTCACATTAAGAAATATTAATTTAAATCTAGGTGTAATGATCAAAATTGCCAGATGCAACCAATTGCCTCACTGTACAGGAGAGGTGCATTCTGTTCCCCAGAGTTAACAGAGCAACTTGAAAATGTACTTAACATAAGAATGTGAAAAACAATAGGAAAGAAAAGTGAGTTTGGGGTGGGGGAGATGCTGGTAATATGATTCCATGATTAGCTGTTGAACCATTTGATTCTTTCAGATCATTTGTTAAGCTAAAATAAAATCGGCCATCCCTGCCAGCCCCACCAAGCAGGCATTTGTACAAAAGACCATAAGGATGGCCATATGGCCTCACCCAGACAAGTGTGGATATGTGATATGTGGTGCCACAGATCCATCTGCAGCACCACACGCTGCACGTGCAGGTGTTCTCCACGCTGCTTGCTACCTTAAAGCTTCGGGGAGGTGGGGGTTGACCCTGGGATTTCCTAGGGTCAAAAACAAACCATGCTGAAAAAAAAGGCATGGTGCACAAAACCGGAGCTTGGCTGGCTGGAGCTACACTCCAGGTGCCAGCCAGGTTTTTTGCCGTGGCTACAGCTCCGGGAGGCCTTCAGGACCCTAGGTAAGGCTGCTGAGTCCAGCACAGTTGCTAGCCCCAGCCTCCCCTACCCCACCTGGGGTAACCTGCCATGCGCCAGAGCACGTGTGGCATGGGCATTCCCCAGGGACAGGTAGCAATGGCAGAAGGTGTGCCACTGCTACTTGTGCCCAGGGAACCAAAGATCCATCTAACCAAGCATCCTGTCTCCAAGAACGGCAAGGTATGGATGCTTTAGAAGAAGGGTATTAGAAACGGCATGTGCTCTGCCCCCAGTCATGCCTTCCCGGTTAGTTATGTTTAGGCCTGGCAGAATTCAGTTTTTATAATTTTTTAAATTTTTTCCTAAAATCTGGCTACAATCTGTGCTAATTTTTAAGCATTTATTTTGAATTTTTTTGACTGAAATTTTCAGCTCTGCCTGAAATTAGGGGTGTGGAGGGCAGACAAATGTGGAGTATACTGCTAGAAAAATATAGCTGCATCTGCTTTGGTCTGCTTACATAGTTCTCCCAATTTCTTAGTACTTTCAGGATCTGGTTAGTGATTTCATAAAGATCTGGTTTCATAAGTTATCTCCCCCTTGTCAAAATTGAATCCATTAATTTGGGTATATACTTTCTGTCAGCTAACTAATAACACTAAAAGCAAAAATAACAGTTTGATTTATATAAACATGAATCGCAGTTTAACCAAAGGTTAGCAACTGATAGTCACAAGTTAATATATGTAAATACAATGCTTACCAGAGAATTCCTCCAGCATTTATTCTATCCCTGAAATAAGTGTTTCTTTTTAAAAAGATACTAACATAATCAAGATACTGACATTATTCAGAATTGATAAAATAAGTTATAAAAATAATAAAATTTAAGTTTGGTAAATGGTTTTAAATTTAAAATTATTAATAGGTAAACTGGGGAAGAGGATTTTTACATCTGTAATGTTTCCAGGTGCAGCAGATTCACCCTTATTTCTTCTGTTTTAGATTTTTGATCACACAAAGAACCCTGTCCTAAATTCCTTTGAGCTATATTACCAAAGTAACTTAATAAATTTATGATTTTGTGGTATGTAAATTAAGTCCTTTCCTTAGACACTTACATCTGTACTTAAATAAAGTGTCCTATTTTTAAGTCATCTGTTTTTAAATCTGTGATTTTTAAATCTGTGATTTAAAAACATTAGCTTTTAAATATAGCATGTGTATTTAATTCTTATTCTGGACTTCTGATTGACATAAGTTCATAAAGCAAGTGCCAGCTTACCTCTTGAGGATTTAATTACAGCTGAGCTTCTGTTTTCACACTTCATGTGTTTACAGTATTACTTCCTGTGATCATGAGTCTCACAGGGCAGAGACACCTTTCTAAATGTTTTGAAAACACCAAGTGCATAGTTGCATAGCTGGCATATTTGTCAGCAGATTATTAAAATTAATTAATTTGCTATGTCCAGTTCAGTTTAAAAAATTACCATTGGGTTATGCAAATCACACATGCAAGCTTCAATCTGCATCAGTTAATGTGTTTTTTTTTCTTGTTTTTCACACTTGTTTTTATTGTACATGTATTAGTCCCATTCAGTTAGTGCCACTATATACAAGAACAGAGAAAAGTGTCTAAGTATAATGTTATTTTGGAACCTGAGGAAAGTAGTTTTTTTGAAAATTGGGAGGGAGGGGGTTCTGTTTTAAAGTACTGGCTTACAAATATTTTTCAGGATTTCTGGAATGTTGTAGGGTAGATGTTCCTCCCCGCCCCTTTGCATCTTGGGGTGAAGAGCCTTTTATGCTGCTTATTTTATCAATGCCCCCACAATACATCTTTCGCCATTTCCCAGTGAAATTGTCACAAAAAAAAATCAATTGATTATTGGGGTGTGTAGAGGGAAAATAAAACTTGGTAGAGGGATGGTTTTTCTGATTTCTCCTGCTTAGTTTGTAAAGGTGTGTTTATGAAGTATTTGTAAATACATTAGCTTTTTAAAATAAAACTGATAGTCATAACTGTAAATCATCTTTGCAGAACTTACCTGTTTGTAAAATTGGTAACATGATGTAGCCCACTGTTATAGTTAATTTGATAGATCAAGCTACAAATGCAGGGTTTTTTTTAAATGCTTATCTGATTAAATTGGCTTAAACAGGTAAGATGATTATTAAATTAAATGCATGTTATTCACCATTTAATGATAATAGAGATGTACTTTCATTAAGAGATACAAATCATCTGCTACCCTAACTTTATGTAAAATGTCTCATACTTGAATATGAGATTATAGAAATTATTTTAGATATAGGTTATGAAACTAACATCACTGTGTATAAAGCAAAAATATCTATCCAGGTTTAAATTGTTAATATCAATTCTAAACATCTATATTGTTCTATCCGTGCTACGACCCCAGTGTAAAAGTAGACACTACTAACTAGGATAGGGTGTTGCTGGCCAAAAGTTTATGTATTAAAAATGTTATGCTTTGTTTCCAAGCAACAGTTTGTTCGGTGGGCTGCACATTTATAGTAAGTTTTATAATAGATTTTATAACTACCAGCTTTCAAAAATCACACTCTATTTATAATTTTTTCAGGAGATAAATCTCCCCCTAAACTTGAACCATCAGATGCATTACCTCTTCCTTCAAACTTGGAGACTAATTCAGAACCACCAACCCTCAAACCAGTAGAACTCAATCCAGAGCAGAGTAAGCTTTACAAAAGAGTAAAATTTGATAATGAATTATATAGTACATCCATTCAGAAAGAAATAAATGGACACACTCCAGAACACTTACTTGACAGTAATCTCAATGAGTCGACTGTTTCTGCTGTAGCTGAGTCATCAACTGATGTAAACAGACGTACATCTGTTCTCTTCTGCAAATCGAAAAGTATAAGCCCCCAAAAGTCTGCAAAGAACACTGAAACCCAGCCAACTTCTCCACAGCTAGGGACCAAAACCTTTTTGTCTGTAGTCCTTCCAAGGTTGGAGACACTTCTGCAGCCAAGGAAAAGATCAAGGAGTGCATGTGGAGATTCTGAGGTTGATGATGAGTCCCCTGTAAAGCGCTTGGATACAGGTAAATATAAACTTCGTTTTAGTGGACAGACATTTTGGAAGACAAGGCATAGTTTTAATTGACATTCATTTAAAATATTTATCTTTTAAATTTCAGCTGTACCCTCATAGCTGAATAACTGAGTGCAATTTTGATCTGGAACACTTGCTTTGCTTTTGTGACAGCTCTTTATAGACGGACTTATAAACTTGCTTTTTTTTCTCTCTCTCTTATCATTGTCATATACCTGAGTCTTTATCTGAAACATCCCAATTTATGTTTGCTTCTTAATGTTATCTGTTTTTGGCTCCTTACTTGGATGCAACTTCCTGTGAAAACACCCCTAATGAATCTGCAATAACTGTCTTTTCTGGGGCTATGCACTGACCCCTTATCAAAGCTCTGAAAATATTAAATATCCATAACACATCTCTTTATTGAGCATTCATTTTCAACCAAAGATATTTTTAAGAAACCAGTAAAGATGTATATAATTATGATATTTATGATGCTCATTCTAATATGAGTGTTAAAACCTTAAAGTACAATTGTTTTTGCTTTAGATGTGCCCTGTTTTAATTTAAAAATAGGTATATAATATATAATGTGGGTATATAAGGTAAAGACTCTATTTTGGCTATATGTAGTCTCGGCTAGATTTTTTTTAAAATTAAGTCTATCCATCAAGTGCAAATGTGAGAGTTCCTTATGTTGCTTCTTGATGTGATTAACTCTCAGCAGTGCTTGGGTATTAAGGAAGAGAGATTTAAATATATAGTCATAGCTTTTTTACATTAAGTATACTTTCTTAATATCACACTGTAGTTTATACTGTTTCTTTACATTCTCTTTTTTTATCATAACTTAATTTTTAAAGACTATATGAAAATTTTTAGTTCTTTAGCTCCGACTAAAGGATACGGGAGTTGCATTAATAACTTGCGTATTGTGAAAGTTTGCTTTTAAAGTGTTTCTTTAACTGTCAAATCAGATGGGGCAATATCCATTGCAAAAAACAAACAAACAAAAAAACCAAATAGAAAAATACAGAAAACAAGTTTCTTAAGACTTTTTCTTTTTAACAAATGCTTTTCCAGACACGCTTGAAATCAGTACTGACATTTGATATTTTAAGGAAGATGCATAAATTAAATATGAATATCTGGAAGGCTGTAGATATTTAGTGAATAGTAAATATTCTGTTCTACCAATTCTTATTGGTAATTTATTATACTTACAGTTATGCTGTAAATGAAGTAAGCATTCATTTCATACAATGTTAAATGTCTACAAATTTTCCATAAACAGTTCTAAAAACAAATGTCACTGTGTTTAACTCATATTCATCTTTTACCAGTATTTATGTAATAGATGAAAACACCATGTCGTATTTAATTCTGGTAGTCTGTTATGAATTCCTATTCAGACAGAAAGGCTAAAATCTTTTTTCCATTGAAGACCATTGCAAAATTTTAGTTGACATCACCTTCCAGTTTTCACTTTATATATTTTGAGTCTGTAAATTACATTTTGGGGGGAGGGATGGGGCAGGGATGCTCTTTCAAATTAGTTCATTTTGTTGGTTCCCCCCTCATGCAAGTGTCTAAAATAAAGAAAATTGACTGGGAATGATCACACTTACTTTCAGATTCTTTTTTTTAATTCAGAAGTTTTCACTTATTTGACATTCTGCATGATGATAATTGTGTGACTAGTTAAGAACAGACTTTCATGGAAATGATTCCTCTAAAAAAATGAAATAATGTCAGATTTTTAATCAACAGATTATGTACACCACAGTACACACTGCAGATATGTAATACTCATTTTTATGTTGTATTCATATCATTTAGATGTATTGACATTGCCCTGCTTATATATTTGAATTTTGAATTTGGAAGCTTTTCACTTAATTTTGAATATTGCTGACTAAAGGGTCCAATCTCATTTGTTAAACATCAACTGTAACATATTTGCCTACCAATCAAAGCCCTGATTCTGCAGTTCTTGTTCCCATTTGATATAGCTACTTTTTCTATTTTACAATGGAAAAGGTGTTTACTTTGGTGCATGTTTTATAATTGCCATATAAAATGTAAAAACAGAGTCTTATTTTCCAAGTTGCTGCTGCCTTAATAGTGTTTTTAATTTTCAAGCCTTCACTTTTCATGTTAACTTGGTTAAGAGATCAGTTTGTAGTTTGCCACCATGGGTCATGATTCTGCGCAGAGGTAGGTCTGTTTGTTTAGACAATTAACGGTTTTGTAAAAAAGCAAACTAAATGGAATTCTGGTTTCCTTTGAAGATACAGGACGTAAGGGTGGTATTCTGTTTCCATTTCGTTGTCCAGATTTACATTCTGTTTCCATTTGGTTTTCTCAGTTGCCATATGGATCAGTGTCGGTAGAAATAACCCAATGGAAATAGAATGTCACTAAATTTCTAGGCTCATAAAATTGTCAGTGTTCTGATTCAGCAACATTAATTAGAAATGCTTGTATTCAAAAGACCATAATATCAGGTTGCATAATACCGACCTCTTGAAGGACTGGTAGCAATAGGCAAGTATTAAAAGGTGTGCTCTGATCTTCCCAGGCATCATATCAATTGGAAGACTAACATTCATTTTTCACTTTCATTCATATTACTATTAAATATAATTGGTTCATATTATAGGATTAGAGTGAGCCTTTAACAAAAAAAATGAAACCCCTCCTACCTTTGGTCTGCAAGCAGTTAACATTTGGCCTGTAGGCTCCTGTCTGGCTGCTACTTTCTGCATTGTTTCCGCTGCTGTGGTAGCCAGGGCCACTAGGGCAGGGTAGCATGTCAGCAGGGGCCCCAGTGAGTACTCTTCATGCAGGGTGGGGGGGGCCTTGCACTGTCCATGCACCCGAAGTAGGGGAGACAGCTCAAATCCATGTGCAGCAAAGATCCTGGGGAACCAATGTGGCCTGGGCCCAGCAATCAGTGTAGCATGTGGCTTCTAGACACTGAAGTTGGATACCTTTTCTGTAGTATATCAGCTACTCAAGGCTTTAGGAGCTAGAAGGATAGATAAGTGGTTGAGTGGCTAACCCAAATTGTTGCTGCTGAAACCTTGGTGTGGTTCACTTGATGATCTTAAGTCTCTATACTACCAACTCTTTTTCTTGGTGTCCAATTTGTTGCCTTCATACATAAGCATCTTGATATTCCCACCCCCCCTTCATACTCTGTTCTTCACATCTTGTCCCTGAATCTCTCTTTACCATTGAATCATCTTCAAGAATCTTTTTTAAACCTCACTTTTTAATCCTCTTATCTGAGAACATTCATTTAAAAAAAAAAAAGAAGGCTTTTTTAGCAAAACCATAACCACGTATTTCCCTTCCCTTCCCTTCCCTTCCCTTCCCTTCCCTTTCTTATTTTTCCTTTTGCCTTTTCCCTTTGCCTTATGTTTTTCCCCTCTTAGTATTTTATTTGTCATACACAGCTTATGTATTTCTTGACACAGGCCCTGACGCAATGTTTTTTCTGGCCTGACTGACCTCTGATGAGCACTTCAGCTTCAGAGCGCTTTAGTGCTGTATTGACATGCAGCCAGTCCCTACTGGAGCATTTCAGAATTGCTGCAGTGGTGTACAGCAGCTGTGCTCTCCAGCCAGAGGGCATGATGGAGTGTTGCTCAGTCTTCCACTATTCCTCTGTGCTTTGCTTTTCACCCCTCTCCCTCCCAATGGGGGATGGAGGTAAAGGGTTGTGGAATAGACAGGGAACTCTTTCCTGTGTAGCTGTCTATTCTCAGGAGACATGCAAGGAATCCTTTTATCCAGGGGCTGGAGGGAGGGGGGCACCAGAGTGGCAGCAGGGTTCTGTTCTTAGCAAAGGCTTATCTAAGCTGGTAGCTCTAGAGGCAGGAGTCTCCTCATCAGCTTCATTTTCCCTTTATCCCTGCTCTGCAGCCAACATCTACTACATTAACTGTTTTACACTGCCTACCACCCCACCCCTTTTCTCCTGTAGTCAGCACAACTCCTTTCCCAGGCCGCCTTGTTCTGCCCAAGGCACAAAAATAGCTAGGCTTGCCTTTGCTTTAGACAGTTTTCTGTTCCACTTCATTTTTTATGAAATAAGTGCTTTCATAAATAATTACATGCCATAACACTTCAAACGTATTTCCCCCCCATTTTAAAACTTGCCCCCCTCTCCCTTGAAATTGTTACCTAAGATGGTGTATTTTTAAAGGTTTGTTGACTTTTAGCACTTGGAACTTGAGTGAGCATTTTCATAAATCAGTATAATATTCAGTATTTTGTAATAAGAAACCGTTTAGGTTTCTTGATGTCATGGGTTATGTTCAGACTTGGCCGACATAGTTTGTCTAATTCCTTGATTAAAATTCATCTTAGTAATACTAAAATGAATACTGTGATCATCTCGGTAAAGTTAACTGTGACATTTTTTGATGCATGTTTTCATTCTTTGTGATAAAAATGAAATGCAAAGAGGGAATTCAGAAGTGGTGTTTTCTTGTCAAAGTATCAAAAGTAGTGAATTGTAAAGTGGTACATAAGACTCATGAATTGGGGATATGCTGTCACAGCTGAATCCAAAATACCTTCCTTTTCAAGGCCTACTACAAATGTTCCACCGTTAATTTGTGAACTTTTACAACCCTCTGCAGTTTCATTCTTCTAAGTCTATAGGTTAGATGTGTAACATACCATTGAAGATACCAAAATCAGAGTTTTATATCCGAGTTATCGTGTTGGCTATAGATCAGTTTTATAATTCGTGCTTGCTTAACAGATTTAAGAAGTATGTATACATGATCTGAGTTTTGCAAGTTGAACTTGATAGCATAAATATTAGTCATGCATATGTTAGCAAGATCAGAATCTGTATGTTGGCATGCATGCTTGTTCATGTAAAACATGCGAAAGGTGGGGTTGTGTGGCATTGCCTAAATTTATATCAAGGAACTCTCAGTGGTGTCCTTCCACAGATGTACAGGACTGCCATATTCACATTTATCTAGA